ACTAATTTTTTTCGTAATTCGTTCACATACTCTTCAGCTACATCTTCTTCAAGTCGATATCCAGACTCTAGATCAGAAGGTAATCTCATCTCCATCCAGACTTTTATTGGTGTTTGGCTTGATTCTTTCTCTGGTTGATTCTTTAACAGTGCATCTGTAGATTATTGAGAAGAATGGGATGTACTCATCCCAATCTCGCTGGTGATTAGGTACATCTTTTGTCAAATACTTGCCAACTGTCTTATCCCTTCGTCCTACCATTCCGTTTGATTGCGGCTTATGTTATAGTTCTTGTTTTCTTTATTACTACTCTATTGCAGATCCCCTGGAATATCTTTTTCTAATGGTGCTACAACCCTTTATGGGTCTTGGCCGGCTTAACAACGTTCAGAACATCTTCTGCCCTGTTGGATGCTTTCCTTCGACACTGCCTGATGTTCACGGTTTTAAGATATTCCTCTACATATCATATCACCCAGGACTATAACTGCATCTCCCCTTTGCACGTTTTCACATTCTGTCGACGCTTTTCTTCTTTACATTTTCAAAGTTTCTGTAAAATTGGATCTATCTCTTGTTTTTCTCTGACTCTAGTAAGCGCCAACTCGAAGAATTATGTAGAATTAACTTTTGCAGATGAAAGGCAGACTACCATTGAAGACACTGAATGCCAAACAGGACCCCGATTACCATTGACGAAGTCACATCAGCTATTAAAAGAACTAATGATGGTAAAGTGGTAGGGCCTGACGAGTTTTGTGCAGAATTCCTTAAACTTATGGATGGACAGGGAATACAATGGATAACAACTGTATTCAACAACATATACGTAACTGGAAAAATACCCCAAAGCTGGTTAAAGTCGACCTTCCTGACCATACCAAAAAAAGTAAATGTCAAGACATGCGAAGACTACAGAACAATTACCCTAATGAGCCACTTACTTAAAACGTTATTGAAAGTGATACACGGCGGAATATATAAAAAATGCGAAGAACAAGTATCATGGACGCAGTTTGGATTCCGCGATTCCTTAGGCACCCGAGAGGCTCTATTCGCTGTCCAAATGCTTATGCAAAGATGCAGGGATCTTAACTGCGATGTGTATATTTGTTTTATCGACTACAAAAAGGCATTTGATAGAGTAAAACATAATAAACTTATAAACATCTTGAAAGAAGTGGGGTTAGATGATAGGGACTTGAGAATCATCTATAATTTATATTACAACCAAACAGCCAATACTAAAGTGGATGATCAATTGACAGAGGCAGTCTCCATAGATAGAGGAGTGAGGCAAGGATGCATTCTGTCCCCGGTGTTATTTAATATATACTCTGAATATATCTTTGAGCAAGCGCTGGGAGAACTACAAGAAGGCGTATTAGTCAACGGAATGCGTTTTAATAACATTAGATATGCCGACGACGCAGTAGATTTTGCTGATAGTCTGGACGGTTTGCAAAGAATAATGTCGCGTATATCACATATAAGTTGAGAACACGGACTTATCTTAATACGAAGAAAACAAAGTACATGGTAGTCAGTAAGCGCGAAATATTAAATACACAGCTTTTGGTTAACCAACTTCCAATTGAAAGAGTGGACAGCTACACATACCTTGGTACCAACATTAACAGCCAATGGGATCACTCCAGTCAAATAAAACAACGCATAGGAAAAGCGAGATCAGCGCTCATAATGATGAAGTCTCTGTTCAGAAGTCACGATTTACCACTTGCTACCAAAATCTCTCTCATTAGACGCTATGTATTTTCTACCTTACTATACGGAGTAGAGGCCTGAACACTTTCCGAAGCTTTCTTAAGAAAACTCGAGGCGTTCGAGATGTGGTGTTACAGACGTATCTTAAGAATTTCATGGGTGGATCGTGTGACTAATGTTAAGGTCCTACGTAGGCAAGGAATGCGAGATTATTAACACCATCAAAGAGCGCAAACTAGAATATCTTGGCCATGTTATGGGGAATGAACACAGATACGACTTGTTGCAACTCATTCTTCAGGGCAAGGTATTTGGAAAGAGAGGACCAGGGAGAAGAAGAATATCTTGGTTTCAAAACCTGAGAAAGTGGTTTAATACATCTACAACCGGACTATTCAGAATAGCAGCAAGCAAAGTTAGGATAGCCATGTTGATCCCCAACATCAGGAACGGATAGGCACCGTAAGAAGAAGAAGACAGTGGGAATACTCTGCTGGATACGGGCTTCTACAGAGGGATTCAGTGTTTCTGTGGCTAACTTTGGTCAGATGCTTAATCTTGAAACCGTTTTCTTGGAGTCGTTCAATCCATCTGTCTATCTGACCGTCTGAATTTTTAAACTGCAATAATCAGTTAAGGGCTCATGATAGGTTCCGATTAAAAAAGTCCTTCCATATATGTATTGATAGAAGTGTTCTATGGATTTCACTACTGCTAGAGGTTCTCTCCTCGTGACGCAATAATTTCGTTCAGGCTTTAAAAGCATTTCACCAAAATATCCAAAGATTCGTTCTTGTCCTCCTTGAACCTGAGATAGTACTCCTCCAATCCCGACATTACTTGCATTTGTATTAAAGATAAACTCTCCTTTTGTCAGTAGATACCCTAATATTGATGTTGTGATTAAATGCTTCTTCGAGGTTTCAAACACAGTTTGGCAGTCTTAATCGCAGCAGTAATCTTTTACTTTCTCTGTAAGTCACGAAAACTTGTCACCTGATGTTTGTCAGTCGGTTTTCATCACTTTTTAATGAAATCGATTTTCCCCATAACTACGGCCATTTCTTCTTTGCTGACTATAAGACCGGATAATTGACATTGACTTTTCCTAAAAATATCTGCTACTTCTTGAGATTTAACATCAATTTGGCAGCTTTAAGTCGATTTAAAACATCGTCTAAATTCTTTGGATGGTCTTTAAAAGTCGGCCTTACAACGATTATGTCGTGTTAATACACCAGGCACGTTTTCCAAGGTAACTCTCTGTACTATTTTACATAGGACTATCAAGTGTCGCAGGAGCATTATAGAATGGAAATAGCATAATGTTGAATTGTCACAATTCAGATCTTGTAGTGAGTGTGCTCCTTATCTACTGGGTCCATTTCTGCTTATTCAAGTCCAAAGTAAAAACAATTTACTTCCAATCAATATATCAAGCGTGTCGTCCGGGACCAATGGGTTGTTAAAATGTTCTATAATTATTCTCCGAACAATCATTTTAACTTCCTCTCTCTTCATCTATGGTAACCGTCGAGCTATTTAATGAATTGGTCTATCATTACTAGTATAGGTTGTGTGTTTGACAATGATAGGTTCTTCCAGTCTTTCCTTCGTTCGGTCCGAAGATGTCACTATATCGAAGAACAAATTCCTTTAATTTTCTTTTCTTCAGCTGATTTAGACTAGAAACTGCAATCATTTGGTCAAATCAAATGGTATCGCCTGACGAATTATGGACGTCACTGTTACACAGTCTCTACTTTTGTCTCTCTATTGATGGTCACTGGGTAATCATTGACATTAATAAGTTTTACAGAAATTTCTTTAGCAAACGTAACCAATTTATTTTCAATTATAATTCCTTGGCCAACCTCCTCGACTTGGCGAACCTCCCTTGGTTCCAAGGTTCCATCATAACAGGTGCTCCTTCCTCCACAGTTTTTTTCTGCCGCGTTACTACGATTATTTTACTTCTCGCAAACAAAACTGTATATTATTTGACGTCTGCTTGCACAGTGGATAAAGAACTACCTGAAGAATTTTGTCAAAGTTTGAAAACAAAGTTTTCAGTGTTTTATTGTTACACAAAATGAATTTCCATCAAGTAACGGTCGAATCCATCAATTATTTAAAAGAAATACCTGGTCGTTTCCAACTTTGATTACCTAATTTCTTAAATCCAATGTAATATAACATCCTCTTTAACGTCAGCAACTATGACAGTATGGACGAACTTTTCTATCCCAATTCCTAATTGGATCTGAATTTCTCCGTGGATGTTTGTATTTTCACCTGTAGCAATCTGCAGTCGCAACTTCATCGGTAAAAATTTTTTACGGCTGTTTATAATTCGATGTATAATGGTCCTGTACATATACACTATCTCCATGACATCTCAAGGAAGCTATTGCTATGAGATGGTATTTGTAAAAGTTTTGGATCGAAGCTACCTCCCGTATTTCAGGCTAGCAAGTTTATAGATTTGTGTTGTACCTAAGGTGCTTACTTGAACTTCGTACGTGTCCCATTTCACCACAATTCCAGCCACTTATGGTCTTCGTTTTCTTGTATGTAATGCCTTTTATCAGATTAACGAACTGGTCAAGTTTGTCGTCAACTTTTTCCTCTTTTACAGTCCTAACTTTGCTGGACCCATCAGAGGTCTGCGTAGCTGATTCATATTCGAGGGCGGTGGACAGGACATCGATCAGCGTCTTGTGACGAGCTAATCGCACTATTCTCTGCATCTCATGATCACGAAGACTGTACATAAATATTTACAGTCGACTTTTCCATCACTTCTTCAAGAGCTTTTGGATGAGCATATCGCACTAATCTTACAATATCTACCTCATATTCTTAAAGAGCCTCATCTTGCTTTTGTCTTTGATTTTTGAATTGTGACTGGTGGACCGGCTCCAAGTGTCCGTGACCTTATCGCATGTTTAGTCTCTTCTTTATATCGAAACTTCAAAATAATTGATAAAAAGCTAAGATATCGAGAGAAACAGTTTCGAAATACTGAATTACGTTCTTACCTATATAATAATTTTAAAATTTGGAAGTTTTAAATTTAAAGACAATAAAATAGAAAAGTCAATAAAATATATAAATCAAATCAAATATTTAACCATTCAATAGTATACAATAATTTCAAGCATTACTATTATAATTTATAAAATACGTTGTAAAGATAACAATGAATGTATATTTGTATAGATTAACAACTTCATACAAATAATTATATTTTTAGTTCGTTCCACATTGTGATAGCGTTTTACAAAGTTATTCGTACGTGATGTTAGTCTATTTATTTTAATATGGATTCTACTAAAAAGTATGTGAATCCATCTCCAGAAGAGAAAGCTAGTCTTTTGTCGAAGATTTTTCATTGGTAAGTAGCTTATTTATTATTAAGAATGAACTCTTAGGTATAACAAAAATTAAAAGCAATTTGGTGTATTATAAAATATTAAAAATGTAAGATGAATAACAGATTGCTAGACTTTAATTATCCTCCTGTAATAATGACAAATGTCCCAGAATATGACAGTAGTAGTAAGGAGACCTGGAAAAAGAGAAATAGAAGAGAAAGTGAAGTCGAAGAGATTTTTGAAAAGAGCAAATTAACAAAGGGGTCACCGAGCAAGAACAGGCTTCTAAACGAGGATATGCTTAAAATGATGCGTAAACTGTTGGCGAAAAGTGACGATATGATAACCGAAATGGGAAAACTGTGTAAACAACAAGATATGCACTGATTGTATTAGAAAATTGTGACAGAAAAATTTATAAATAAAGAAGGCGCTTAATAAGGCAAATAAGAGAATCGAACAGCTGAAGAAAAACAAAAGAAAGAAAAACATAATTATTAAAGGCTTAGATTTGAAAATTATAATGGGGGTGATACTAAAGATAAATAGGAGCAATTTATAAAAATAAATCTTTAATTTAACATTAAATTAAAAGAAGGTAGCAAAATAGATGACAAAATGGTCTTCGCAAAAATGGAAAACATGACGGACAAAGTGAGTGTGCTGGAAAACAAAAGTAAAATCAAACCATAGTAGGACAGAGCGTATAGGTATACAGAGTCGAACGTGACAAAAAATTAAAAGAAGAATACAGGCTACAATTAGAAAAATAGCAAGAAAAGAAAGAGAAAAAGGAAGGAAGACCAAAATAGGTTATATAAAATTAAAAATAGATGGAAAGGAATTAATGTGGAATAAAGATAAAGGAATTATGGAAAAAAAATAAAAGCAATGATTCAAAAACCTAAAACAATCTCCGCAGAGTCCTGCGGACAAATAAATAAAGACGGAATAGAGAAATAATAAGAACACGACTGTGAAAAGCAAAGGGATAAATGCAAGCAAAAAGATAATGACAGACAGTAGAAAAAAAAAAAGAATATAAGCGTTACCTAATATTCAATTAACGATATAAGGCACATGGAATGTTACAATAGACTATTGGGTACAGTGTTTTTAACAAAGGAAAGTCTCAAGGAAAGTGTGGTAGACTTTAAACCAATCGCGGAAGGGATCTACTGTTTACGCTTAGGACGAAAGTACTGTAAAATACGATACTTTCTTCAATTGGTAACGCATAAAAACTTCAAAAACCAGTTAAAATGGAAAATAGCAAAAATCTTACACGACACAATTTCAAATGAAGATACTGACCAAAAATGGACACAAATAAGGAAGATAATAACAAAAGCTACAGAAAAGATAGTGGGAAATATAAAAAAAGCAAACAGTAAGGATTAGTTCGATACAGAATGTAAAAGGGATTTAGAAGCAAGAAGAAAAGATACAATACAAATGAATATACTAATACAACAGAAACGAGTTACGAAGGAGCAAAAGAAGCAAAACTAACCGTTAGAAAAAAAACGAGAATATTGGAAAATGAAGTTACAAGATATAAAAAATCGTATGATAAACAAAGAGTGTTGTAAAAACAACATTTTATATTAATTTTAGTACAATTTTTAGTTCTCACAAATATTGGTTTGGAATTTATGCTACAGACTGTACTTTTGTCTGCAGAATATTTGTGCCATAAATAGCTTATAAGGGTTGTTTAAAGTGGTAAAACCGACGCCGCCTTGTCGGCAATTTTAGGTAAAGATTCAATCCAAAATCTTTCGCAGATGTGACTAGAGTCTCAAACTGTGCAGTACCAGTCGGTACCTAGCGACTAATCTCTCTCTTTGCCGCCAAAATGTATTGAAACTTGTATTTGTTTTTCTCGATAGTTTCGCGCGCCCGTAAAACGCCGATATAATAATGGACAATGTGTAAAAAGCGAACTCTTTCGTTAGTATTAGTGTTTGTGTAAATATTCTCTCGTTATTAAATGTGTAGATTCAATTAATTACGCTTATTTTTTCTCTAAGTACAACCCCTATTAAACCAAACACATAAAGAACCAGCGCCTTGAAGTCTACTCGTATATATCGAAGGAAACACTCTTGTACAGTCCATGTTCCTAAAATATTTGGTACTGTACACGCACGGGGAAAGGAATTTAATAAGCTTTCCCCCCAACAATTGGTGGAAATCAGAGAAAATTCCATCATTGTTTATGGTCCTTACTCGACGGATTTGTGTTTGATGTTGGCATTTGTACTAACTAGTTTCGGATATTTAGATGAATGTATTTAAAAGACTCTCGAAAAGACTAAGGTGTCGCGATAAACTCTGAAACAAAAGGACAGTAGTGAAGTTTATATAGTGTTTGTGCCTGTTCCTGCAAACCACTGGACAAATTGGGTGAGATTTTTCCATATTATAACTTCGCTTATGCACAGGGTAAATCGCTTTTCAAAAAGACTATCTCTTTAAAAATTTATCTGTAGACATTTGTAGACATTTACCGGGTGTGCAAAAAATTTAATTGCAAAAATAAACTCTCATGTGTGATTTAAGACTTTTACCGCGTTTTAATAAACTATAAACTTTCTCGCCGTGTGCTATATGTTATTATATGATATAAATATTGACTCTATTCTTGCCGTGTGCTATACATGTTATTACATAATATAAACATTATTTACTCTATTCTTGTTGTGTGCTATACATGTTATTATATACGATAAACATTACTCACTCTATTCTCGCTGTATGATACACGCATTATTATATAATAGAAACATTAATTTCTCTAAAGAATTCGGTGTTTGCACGACCGTAGGCAGTTATTTTTGGAGTAGCACTTTTTGTTAAAATCGAAATGGAAGATCTTAAGAAGAAGAGGAAGCCGCTGAAGGCCAAGATTACTAGAATAGTAAACTGGCTACTAGAAAACGCAGATGCAGAAACTGACGGTCTCCAGTTTCAACTCAGACACACCGAATTGAAATCATGTTATCTGAAGTATGAAGAGGTGATGGATCAGATTGAAGAAATCGATGAAACCAATTCTGAAACAGAAGACAGAGCACTCATGGAGAAAAAATACTTTTCTACACTAGCTGGATTGTAGCATAAGATGGAAGCATTAAAGTTACCCTCCCACTCGCTCAGCTCAAACCATACTCCGTCAACTGTAGCCACTGCTAAGGTTAGGTTGCCGGAAATTACAATGCAGGTATTCTCTGGAAACTTCGCCGAATGGAACGCGTTTTATCAGCTATTTGAAACGCTGATAATCAATAATGTGGAGCTGAACAATGTGCAAAAATTTATATATCTTAAATCCTTTTTAAAACATGAACCTTTGCACTTAATTGAAAACATTGAAGTTGTAGAAGAAAATTTCCAGATCGCTTTGGACACGCTCAAGGATCGATACGAAAATAAATCGCGTGTAATTAGTTTACATATTCAAAAATTGTTAGAGGCTCCATCTTTAGCTAAAAGTAACTCAAAATCATTAAGAGAATTTTTAACTCTTTGCAAACAAACGTTACTCGCACTCAAGAATATGTCAGTACCAATCGAACATTGGGATTTATTGTTAATCGAAGTATTTTTACAAAAATTAGATTTCACTACTCACCGCTCATTTGAATATGAAATAGGTTCAAAGGCTTTACCTACTCTCTCACAGTTTTTTTGTTTTCTTGAAAGAAAGTGTGATATCCATGAAAAATTAAACGTTTCTGATAATGATAGAAAATTTACTAAGACTCAGTTAAAAACATCTTTGTTTTCATCAGTTAACTCACAAACAAACTCTTTTTCAGATACTACTTGTATATGTTGCAAAAGTAATTCACATAAAGTTTATCAATGTAATGATTTTAAATGTCTCTCTTTACAGGAAAGATTTAATTTTGTAAAAGGTAAGAAACTTTGTTGGAATTGTTTGGGTAATAAACATTTTTCTCAAGATTGCAACTCTGCACGCTCATGTAGTATATGTAAGAAAAGACATCACTCGCTCTTGCATAGTACCCCTGAAAATGTCTCTTCCTCTAGGAATACGAATAAGCAATCTTTCCCGATTGATCGCAACGCTCAAACCCCCAAACATTCTCAAGGTTCTTCCAGTCGTGTCGCTCACATACCTACTCCGCCTTATAGTGCTCATACCCAAAATGAAGCTTCTAACAGTTCGTTCAAATCTCCTTTAGAAGTACAAAACACTGCAGATTCTCACACAGCCACTCCTCTCTCTGCTTTATCAGTTAAAACTGATGTATTGTTGGCTACCGCTTTAGTGACAGTGTATTCTAAAGATGGCAGACCTATGCATGCCAGAGCGCTCCTAGATAATGGGAGTCAACATTCATTTATTTCTCGTGATTTGGTTGAGAAGTTAAACCTCACCCCTTATTTTAAACAGTTACAGATATCAACCATATCCGAAAACACCTCATTGTCAAATCAAATGATTAACATAGAATTTTTTCCCTATAATGTGAAGGATAGAAGTTTCAAAACCTCTTTTGCTGTACTTGATAGTATAACTTGCAGACTTCCTAAAGCTACCCTAAATAGAAGCAAAATAAATGTTCCCCCTAATCTCACTCTCGCAGATCCCTCGTACTTTGTTCCCGGTAAAATTGATTTGCTTCTAGCTGGTGACATCTACAGCGAATTATTGACTGATGGATTCATACGTCTAGGAAAGAATCTTCTCATTCTTCAGAATACCCACTTGGGTTATGTTATTTTTGGTACTCTTCCCCCTCATGTCTTTCATCGTAGTTCAAATTTGGCTATTTCTCAGTCAAATGTTTCTCTCCTTGTTCAGTCCGAATCCGAAGAGAATAATCTAGATAAATTAATTCAACAATTCTTCGAGATTGAAGAAGTTCCGCACGTTAGTAAATTAACCCCCGATGAGAAATTGGCTGAACAAATATTTAATAAAACCACTCGTATTTTACCTTCGGGTCGTTTTCAAGTAAATCTTCCACTTGTCTCCGAAAATGCG